GATATTCTATAATTCTAATGTTGTTATATATTTGTTGCTATGGGTTCAAAGGGTAAAAGTCTGGTGAAAGGTAAAGGTGAGTAGGTGACCCATGACTTGGCGCTAGCTGCTATAAATTTGGTGTTGTTTTGCCAAATGCCAACAGGTTGTATCATGACTGGTGTATATTTTGTTTTATGTTAGTTTGGACTTTGGAAGCAGTCGGCTGGCCATTGTAGTGAATGTGAATGAGATAAATCCAAAGTCCAAGTCCCAACCTCTAAATGTAAATATGTATTAGTAATATATACTGGCTCCTTAATTATGATTATGTAAATATGCACTGGCTCCTTAATTGAAAATATTATCAAGAAGCTTCTCCTTTGGATTCTGTAATCCTGGATTCTCAACTTGAATTCAGTTGAAAAGGTAATTTGATTGCATGCGTGGTTTCAATTTCAGCTTGTAATCTGATATAAAACTATTAAACGAGCTTTCATCGAGCTCGATTCGAGCCTGGTAACAAGCACTTACTCGAGCAATAAAACAGTCAACCAATCAAGCTATATTAACGAGCCTGGCTCAAACGAATCAAGTTCAAAAATTCTCAGCCAAACAAAAACTCATGACCACCAATTAATTGACGATCTTGATCTCAATCTCGAATTTCCCTACTCGTCAAGCTCGAGCTCGAATTCGAGCCCAATGAAAGATTACGAGCCGAGCACGTTCAGCTCAGCTGCTCAGCTGTATACACCCCTAGAGAGGGCGACTACAATAAGGATGGGCACAGGTTTGGGGTGGGGACCCTGTCTCCGACCTTAGCCCGAAAAGCCCAAGGAGATTCCCGTCTTGGCTGTATCCTGAACCATGAATTTGGGGAATCCCCAAATAGGTCTGATCCCCAAATGAGGAATTCAGGAATTCCCGTTTGGGGTTTTTGCGTTATAATTTTCTTTTTAATTTATAATGATTTAAAAAACAATTATAATGAATTAAAATATAAAAATATATTTATGATACATTATACATATATGTAATATATTATTATAATGGTATATATTAGGTATTATGTATTACAACAAGTATTACCATATGAATATATATATTATGATACAGATAATAGGAATTATAATAATGTCTAATGTATATGTATATATATCATAATAATTTAAATAAATTATACCAATAATATATATATAAATTCAAATAAATAGTAACTAATATAACGAGGGCAATAAGTAATGAAGGAAATAATGATATAACATATGAGGGATAAAAAAATAAATTAAATGATTTATATAATCAATATAAAATATCAAAATGTATTTAATGTATAAAATATCATACACACACACACACACGTATGATTATAAGTGGTAATATAATATATACATTATATGTTATATACATTATACATATAAAAAATATAACGTATAATGTATAATACAATAAAGGTATAATGTTATTTTGCATTATGGCAGTATGTATATATATATTAGGGAATTCGAGGTGAGGGTGAGCCAGGCAACAACCTATCCCCAAATTCGGGGACCGATTTTTAGCCTGGGCCTGACCCAAACCCTAAATAATTGTGGAAACTTCACCTGTTCGGGACGAGTCCCATGAGGGTGGGTATTATGCCCATCTCAGGCTACCAAACCCTTATTACTCGATTGCCGAGATTGGACTAGGTCGATGAGAGAAGGGTTTGAGGGTTTTTGATGAGTGATGATCGGAGAAGATAAGGGTGGTGATGCAAGTCGTCGACGAATCGAGTAGAACTAAAAAGGGAATAAATTTAGGTAACAAAAGTAATATTTAAAATTTCTTTAAAAATTACTTTGTTACCAATTTGGGTGGGAAAAAGCCTTTTGCTCTTTGAAAATTTCACTTAGCACCTAAACGTTAAAAAGCAAATCCATGTTAAGTGCCTTACGGTTGGAGGTGGTTTTCTACTAAATCCAAATATCCGGTTGATCAAACAAAATGCAACCAATTTATATAAGTATTGAACTGGAATGTTTTTTTTGATTATAAGATTGAAAAAATCATAGTAGGGGAAGATAAGATGAAGAAGACGATGAACCAGAGCGCAGATGGAAGAAGAAGAAGAAGAAGACCGTGGCTGATTTGTTTTTTGAAACATTTTCCCCAAAATTTTTTAACCTAAACTTTTTTAATTCAACATTTTTGTTTTTAATTAGAGTAGCGACGCCCGTCCAAAAATAAATGATGGCCGTCCATTCCTTATGGACGGGCATCCATTATATACGGACGACCGTCCTTACACAGTGATCAGGCGTCCATTCCATATGGACGGCTGTCCATACATAATGGACCGGCGTCAATTCCTTATGGACGCCCGTCCATACTTAAGGGACGCCGGTCCATAATTTATGGACGGGCATCCAAATATTTTTTTAAATATTTTAAAATCAAATTATGGACGGACATCCATTCTATACGGACACCCGTCCACACATTATGAACGCCTATCCACAATTTTTGGACAGGCGTCCTAGAATTTTTTAAAATTTTTAAATTTAAAAAAAAGGACTGGGTCCCTTATTTGCAGACGCCTGTCCAAAACTTAAGGGACGGACGTCCATTAACATATGATTGCCCGTCCAATATGTATTGACGGCCATTCATAACCTATGAACGGCCATCCCTAATTTTTTTTTAATATTTTTTATTTCATTTACCAATGGATGAGCGTCCTTTAAATGAGGACATCCGTCCGTAGTAAATGGACCCCCGTCCATATAATATGGACGGGATTCCATGTCAGTTATGGACGGCCGTTCATTAGAAAAAATTTAATAACGTAAAATGTGTTGAATGGTCTGAGTCAGCAGACATGTAAGCCGATACAAAATTTCGGTGTAAAAACCCTGGTGTCTGTAGCATTGTTGTTTATATAAATAATAAGTATTCAATTGGATTTTTTTTTTTTTACTTTTTTTTAATTATAAAATTTAAATAAATCTTGCTATTGAAGTTTAAATTTAATTTATAATATATTAAAAAAATATTTTTTTCTTTGTTCTTCAAAATTTTAAATATAATATAGAATTAGTAATATTATTTTAATAATATAATATTTCACATATTCAAATGTAATACATTAAAATTCAAGGGATGTCGTTTTCTACTTCTTAAAAGGTTATATGAATAATGTTTTGTGATCATATTAACAAAATTATCACACTAATTATATTATTGAAATATCTATATTACTAAATTAATATTATGTATACGTTTTATTATAATTAATAATTCTATATTATATAACAGAGTTATATTAGCAGATTTGAAGTTTAATAAAATAAAAATAATCTAATTTATGAAATATTGGAAATCATAAAACATTTTAGGATAGATTTTGGTGGAGAAAAGGTTTTGTCTACGGGGAACAGAGTAAAAATTTTTATCTCTATAAAAACCAAAGTATGCTAAAGATATAAAATATAAAAAATATATTTTATTTACCTCTAAAATACCAATGATATTACGAAAATAATTAGAATAAATCTTTTATTAGTGTAGTGATTCCTTTGCAAGAAGAACGAATTCCACTCTTTAGGAGAGAGGATGAACCGTCTAATCAAAGATCACAAGAGCTAAGAGAAGAACAATGAATTCTGCTCCCTAAGAGTAAATGGATGGAGAAATGGAGTCTCCCTCCTATCAAAGATCACAAGAGTTAAAAGAATTAGCATATTTGCCATTTTTTCAGAAAAAACTCTATTGCTTTTGGTTCGTAAATCACCAATTTGGGTCCAAAACCTGGTCGTACACACTAAGTGCTATCACCAAACTCTGTTATGATATATATATGTGGTTAAACTCCCTCCTTCCTAGAGCTAGCATTAATCACTTGCTAGAGCTAACTTGGTAAAAAAAAAACTTCAATTTTAATCACTTGCCTAAAATTTTAAATGCTTTTTGACTTTCCCAAAGCAAGCAAAGATGCATGAAATAAATTTAGTAATGCTAATTTTTAATAAATCCTTCACTTTTGTTTGTGTATTGTAGTTTTCATAGTTAGCTGAAGTCCAAGTTTCTTATGATTTGTTTTCTCAATAAGAGATACTCTCTGTTTCTCCTCGTAGTGTACCCAAAAGAGCTCTGTCCAAGCTTCCTGAGTTTGATGCAGGTTATTGATAAAAAGTCCTCTGCTATTCACTATGGCCAATCAGAAAATTCTCATGTTTCTAACTACAGCATGGCCTTGTCAAACTATCCACTTTCATTGCATCGGAAAAAATGGTCAAAGACAGAAAAGGAAAATCTTGGAAAGGGAATAAGACACCAATTTCAAGAAATGTTGCTGCATGTGTCAATGGATAGATTAAGGTATGCACAAACAAATCTTTTCAGCATTATATATCCTTTGAACTCATGTAAATAAGTATAGGCCATGACTAGGTGATGACATACTCATCAAACAACTTAGATTTTTATTATCTCCCCAATTTCTATGTTTCTTCTCTTGGTATTGTCATGATAGTCTTAACTCTTCTTATGATAGTTATCAGAAGGGATAGTACATATCAGAAAGAAAGGGGAGGGATATAATAAGAAATGGGAAACAAGAGGAATTAGAAAAGAAGCATACAAATTGGGGAGAAAGCCATCTTTATTATCAATTCGTATTTAAAGTCAGGTAAGAAGACAATCCAATATAAGGAAGTCTTCGGTCTTATTTAGACTAGGAAGGAAATAAAAACAAATTAGGAGAAAAAATAAAACAAGTCCTAGAGATATAACATCAAACCTATGAGGGTCTTGGTTGTTCTGCATCTTTAAGCCTCTATGCCAAAACAATATTTATGATAGAGTGTCTCCTTTAATGCTACAACTTAAAGTTCGAATCTATTTTGCTTTTAAACTTTGCTGTACATATAGTTTTTGTTACCTACGTTATGATTGGATTACTTCTTAAGCATAATTTTCTGGGCCTGCTTTAAATTGGCAGTGGTTCAGAGGGATCTTCTACAGATGCAAATGGTTTGAATAACATTTCACAGCATCAAGAATCCACCAAAAAATGGTTAAATACCACATCCACCAAAAAAGTTAAATGAAATGATGCTGCAATGAAATCGATACAGATTTGAGACAGATTTAGATCTAAAAAACACAGACTCATAATACTTGACAGCCTATTAATTAAGCTATAAGATAACACCGTTTGATAACCTTAGGGGGATCTTACCTGAGTCTATTTTCACACCATGCTGCTTAATAGAAATCAATGGCACTTTGAAATCCCCGAATCGACCAAATCTCCATGGATCATCATTACAGCAACTGCTTATGTAACACCAGAGACCAGACCATATTTCTCTTGACTACAATGTTGTCATGTCAACTGTTCCAACAGGTAGATCCCATTGACCGGCCCCTGCTATGCATCCATATTCTTTAAGACATTATAGTTAAAAACCTTTTATAATGCTCTTCTTGCTTTGTCTTCATCAGCTATCGTTGAAAGAGCACATGCTCGTGCATAACTACATTAGAGACACACCTGGTAAGTTCCAGTGTAATCAAATTTGAACTAAAAAATATATATATTGAGAAAAAGAAACATGTAAAACACTATAACTAAATCGAGATTTATCAGGCCTGGATATTTGAGAATATCAATGAATGAAGTTAATCAGTTGCAACATACCATCGTCCAGGAAACTGATCAGCTTGAAAAGATGAACTTGAGCGGCTACCATTATTTTCGTAGTTGAAGTCAGAACCGTTCCCCAATTTCTCATACACAACTTTTGCTTACTGAAATTTGCACCAGAAATAATCCTCAAACCCTTAAGACTACTTCATGTGCAAATGCTGACGCAGCCTGCAATGCTGCCACCTCCACTATATGCACTTACGACAGAGACAGATCACTTGTCGTATGTCTGATCAAGGAAGCCATCATTCTGAATCATCCCTGTCACCATCCCTATCAATTTTGAACAGATGAAAGTGTTTACTGTACCTTCTTCTTACCGTGACCAAAATAGAGCATTCGAGTAGCTGGGTGAACGTTTGCAGGATTCTGATCCAAAAAAAGTTGAATACTCACAAAAGTTTTTATCATGTAAGCATCAATTTCGCTTTTGGACGAGAAATTGAGGAAGCTGGTTCAAACATTCACGATAATTTTCAGCCTTCATTAGTAACTGCATGACTAAGGACATCGTAAATCCAGACGGCTTCACATTTCTCTCCGCCATCTTATGAAGGAGTTCAACAACTTTTGTTATCTCGTTATTTTTTAGGAAACCAAACATCAGCGTACCAAAAGTGACCTCATCTGGAGCGCAACCTTCTTCCTCCATACGTGTTAAAAACTCATTTGCCTTTTCTAATTGTCCACTTTTACAGAGCCCATAGATCAAAGTGGTATATACAATCACATCAGGCCTAATTCCTTCTGAAATCATCTCTTGATAAACACCAAGAGCTTTGTTGACTATTTTGTTCTTGCAATACCAATTGATTAAAGTATTGTAGCTAACAACATTAGCTCTATACCCCTTTCTAGTTATAGAATTCAATAACTCCCTTGCATCACGAATTCTACCTGCCAAGCAATAACCGTTCATCAAAATGTTGTAAGTACAAGTGTCGGGTTCCACACCTTGTTGAATCATAAGTTGCAACAACCTATTTACTTCGTCGAATTTCCCTTTCTTGCAAAGGAAATCTATGACTACACTAAATGTCACCACACAAGGCTGCACACCTTGATCCATCATCAATATAAATAAACTTTTAACAATCTCCCAATCACCCACACGACAAAAACCATGAATTAGAACGGTATAAGTTACTACGTTTGGACTAATTCCCGAACTCTTCATCTCCAAAAATAACTGTCTAGCCTTCTTAATTAATCCATCCTTACAAAGACCATCGATTATAATACTATAGGTAACAACGTTTGGCCTACAAGTAACACCAGATTCTTCATTTCCCTTAGCCATTTCTTCATGCAACTTAATGGCAACACTTACATTCCCGGTTTTACACAATCCATCAATCAAAGTATTGCAAGTGATGACATTAGGCCTACAACCAACAGCAACCATTCTCTTAAACAATTCCATTGATTCCATAATCTTTCTCTCTACACACAGACCTTTGATCAAACAAGTAAAAGTCACCACATTTGGGCTAAAACCCTTCTTCAAAATCACCCCAAAAACCGCAAAACTATCCGGAACCCTTTTGATATTACAGAAGCAATTAATCAAAACATTAAAAAAAATCAAATCTGGAGACAACCCAGTTGAATTAAAGCACTTATAAAGCGAAATCACTTCATAATAATGCTTCTTCTTTGCAAGTGCACTAAGCAATGTAGTGAATGATGAAATTGGAGAAATAGGTTGCGAATTAATCATGTAATAAAAAAAGTTCAATGCTTCATTCAGAGTAAAGTTACCCGATCGACAATTTTCCTTGAGGAATTTTGCAAGTGAGGATCGTTCAAGGGGTTTTTCGAAAGAATACAAAACTTCATTTTTGGAGCTTGACGTTGTGAGGTTGCGTAAGTGAGCTAACAAAGATGAAATATTCCCTTTCAGAGATGGGTTTTGAGAGATTGAAGACGATCGAAATGGGGATCTCAAATCCCTGTATGAAGATTGAAGAGTGTTTTTCGGAAGTAAGGTCATTGCAAACTTATGTAAAGTATCGATCTTTCCTTAACAAAGTAACAAACCACCTTCATGATTTCGAAAATGAGTGAATTCCTTTTTCCCACCCAAATAATGGCTTAATGTCTTTGCCACCCACAAACTTTTAAAAATATCAGTTTACTATCCAAATTTATATTTCAACAGCGAACAGAGAGCAAACTCTATCCAAACTATTATGGCTTTTGAAGAGAGGAGGCCAATGAGTATTTTGGTGGTAGAAGATTGGATTTGGTGGATGGGCTTGATCAAAATTTGACTTGGGAGAGGCTTAGGGTGTACACGAACGAGCAGTTCGCGAACTGTTGGGGCTTGGCTCGCAGATGCTTGAATCTGACTTGAAGTCTGACGAGCTGAGTACAGTCTCGCACTGCTCAGTTTGTATACAAACCGAGTACCAAATATGGTGGTACTCGGCTTGGAGGCTTCTCGATCTTCTCAAGCTTGCCACTGAATGAGCTATCAAGCTTGAACTTGATCGCAATCTCTGGAGCTTACGTTTTTGTTAAACACTAAATGGTACTCTCCCACTCAGTCTCCCTCCAAAAAGAAACACAAATACCCAAAATCCCTAACTTTCTGAAATCTAAACGCAATCCGGAGAGAGANCCTTTCATCATTGTAAACCATTTGAGTAAGAGTGGTTTTACCCAAACCCCCAATTCCAACTATTGGAATGACAGAGACTCCCTCTCCTTTGGTTGGTTGCATTAAAATGCTTATAATCTTCTCTTTATCATCCTCCCTTCCAATAACATAAGGAGCTCCCAAGAAGGGATCAGTGATCTCCCTCTCCTTTGGAATTACATGCCCATCTTCAGCAGGAGTACTCTCACTAAGAGTAAAATCTCTCCTATCACCTGCGATTTTATCTAGCCTTTCTCTAATCTCCTTGATTTTATGACTAATTTCATATTGAAAACCAACAGATTTAGAGCTTGAAAAGCATTGACATACCTTTCTATATGTGCTCCTCTTTTGTCTCACCACTTCCCTCCCAGAAGCTTTAAACTCGAATTCTTCTAAAACGTCCTCAGCATCAAGGAGAACATCCTTAAGCTTCCCAAGCCAGTCACGCAGCTGATGATTGTGTGCCTGCTTTTTCTCAGCATCCAAGAGTACGGCTTTGATTCTGCTTAGGGTTCCCTCAAGGCTTTCTAAATCACTTTCAAGATTCCACAACAAAGACACTTCCCGACGCACAAGAGAGCCTATCTTCTTCAGAACTTCAGTCGCAATATCAAACAGAATTGATTCTGCCATTTTCTCTCAGAAGAAACGAAGAGAGCGAGAATAAGCTAGTTGAAGATAATGGATGCTTAGTATGCACCTACTCTAGCTATACCGCTAACATAAAACCTGAAAAATACAGCATCCAAGGAATAAAAAATTCGTTCCAGTGCTGGAGTTGGTATGAGAATCTCAACTCTAGCGATACTGCTAACATAAAACATCAAAAAGTTAGCATCAAGGAATAAAAAATTTGTTTCAGCGCTGGAGTAGGTATGAGAATGGGACTCTTGAACATATAAAATTTTATTAACTGCCAGTAGCGACTTAAATATTAATTTTTGAAACTCAATGTCTCAATCCATGTGATGAACCACGCCATTGACCATCGGCATTTATCTCCACAGCTGTATCAAGGCTGTATTCAAGGGAAGACTCTGATTCTCCAGCTCTATAGCCAATTCTGGACTGTTGTTTAACTAAAACCATCTACGTTGAATACAATACAATTCACATTGTGCTCTACAAGTTTTCTTATTGCTGTTTATCAGAACCTTAGCTTCAAGTTTAATATGTAAAACTCAGTGTACAATGTACACACCAAGCGGACAGATACAATGACAATGAGAAGATCGTCCATCAAGGGTTGGTCACAGGGGAGACCAAGTAGTGGCTTGGCAACCATCTGTCTCCACTCCCCAAGCCTATGATCACTTGTATATATAAATTTTGCTCTCGAGTTATGTTGACGTTGAAGAAAGGTTCAAGACGAGGTATCTAGGGGGCACCTATTGTAGCCAAAATGCCTGAGAAGATACAGCCACCTCCTCCTTATAAAGTGTCCTGCCTTGACCTTGAGGAACTGTAATTATCACCAGAGTCGGGCACGAAACGTCATATTGCTTCGATCTTAAAGATAGAATTGAGGAGAGAAGGAGTATGTTGTTTCCATTGAACGGTAATTATCGACGTTGAAAGTGGTCGAGTTTGTCGTATTTACACGTCATTTCATTTTATTATACAAAATAATATTAATATACGTAGTTAATTCACCACATTTTAAGTGTAGCTTTTTATCGTATTTCCTGACGAAAATACTAACCTCTACACAGAGCCGCCTCAAGAACATTTGTGACCATAGGGAAGAGTTACTTTAGGGGTTTTCTAATTATATAAGTATATATTAAAAAAAATTATTTCAAATTTATTTTCTTACCTTTTGAGATGCAAAATCACTAAGAGAGGTGAACGACAATCAGCAAGCTAATGGGGTCAGTTTGGTAAGGGGTTTTGGAGAGCAGATGTTGGAGAAGCAATGAGTGGTGAAATAGATAATTTCCAATGGCCGGATTGGCCAGAAAAGGCTTGAGAAGTTGCAGCCTAAAAGATATCGGTGGCCGGCGATTGACGGAGTAAATGGATGAGATATAATAGGGATTTTGGTGAGAGAGTTGAGGGGAGGGAGATGGTGGTGTTGGGGAAGGCCAACAGTGTCGGGTACATGCTGAAAAGGCTAGAAATGGCTGTCACACGCGGTGGAGTTGGGTTATGAGATTCGTAAAAATTAGTCAAATCGAGGACTATCGAGGTTGGAAAAACACTTGGAAAATGATAATGTGATGATTTTGGTCAATTTTGGTGAGAAAATTGATCGGAATCAGCTCCAAATGGCTGGCGGCGGAAGAAGGGTGGAGATAATTTGTGTCAAAGTTGAATTTTGGGATGGAATTGGGGTTGAGTAATTTGAGACATGTAAATAACTATTTTAGCCTTTGATTGTTAAAAGAAATTCAATGTATTAATTTAGGGGTCTAAATTAGAATATATGAGATTAGAGGTACAAATTTACTATTTTGTCAAACTTTGGATGGGAATATATGTAAAAAGTTTATAATAAATTTTGATCTTTTTTTTTTTCTTGGCCTGGATAAAAAATCATACACCATTTTTATTTTTATAATATATAAAAAAAAATTATAAAAAATTTGTGCCTCACCTGCCTACCCCTTGAGCCGGGCCTGCCTCTATATATATTAAATAACGAGATTAAAAAAATAATTACGGTAAATATGGTTAAGATACCTATAGGCAGGGGACCAAACTAGCTACTAATCTCCAATAATTTTATGTGCTTAATTGATAATCACAATTTATTCACACACAGCAAATGTGATCCTAAAGATATTTTTGATATGGAATAGAGAATGTACTTTCTACTATTACAAAGTATCAATTCAGTTTTGTTAATCAAGATATATATGTTAAACTAAATTATTAATTAATTAAGCTTTAATGTACATTGCAAATCCAAGGCTGCATCCACTAACTAATATTTAATCAACTTAATGGTGTTGTTCAATCTCTTCAAATCTATATACTTGTAATTATTTGTACGGGTGTTAGTATATGTACATGTTAATATTGATAGATAAAATCAACGAATATTTAATTTTAAAGAAATTATATATATTCTTGTAAATAAAAATTTCGTAATTGTACAAATCTTTTCATAATTAGTAAAGAGTAAAAATATATTGTAATAGTTTTAAAAGAAAAAATTACCAACAAAAAAGAAATAAATTAAGGGAGGAAATAATTATCCTAAAATACTAAAACTTGTGACTAAAGACACCTTTGTGTGCTTGATATATTATATAATTACATAATTGCCCCAGATCCGGTAAATAACTATACTGCCTTTGATATATTTAAATAATTATAGAACTGCCCTCCGTATATAAATCCACTTTTTTTAATACAGTAGAACCTTTCTATAATGATACTTCATATATAAATAACCTTCATGTAGTCATAAAAATTATGGTCATAACTTGGACCAGTTATAAATAAGAATAAATTTCACATTGTAATAAGTTATAGTTTTTCTAAGTCTCATATTAAGGAATTTGTCTCTACATAGTAATAATTGTATTTATATTATAAAAAAAAAATTATGTCACATTAAATGTTTAAGATGAAATAAAATATATATCTAAAGTTGTTTGAGACAATGATTATGCATTAGAGTTGTTATCATATCTTTTATCATGCGAGTACGTAATAAGTCGCCAACATGGATACCTTTTTTGAAGCCAAAATATTTCTAACTTCATGTTTGGAGCTTCTTGGCATGAAACTTTTGGTATTTCAGTACTATATTCATCCTTAGGATTATCTCCTTCCTCTTCTTGTTTAATTCCAGTAATGATTTCTTCTTCAGTTAAAGTATGCACGACTTGTTGCTCATTTGGATGATTAAGGCATATATTAATATCTATTTGATTAGTGTAATAAAGTTGTTGAATCTGATCACTCAATTTTGTAATGACTCTTTGATATTCATTTCCATACCATCCTAATGCTACTAAAACAATGAATTGAAATTAGAGCTGGACATTTGGGACCGGGTCCAAAAACCCGGTCCTAGTAAGCTTGGTCCCAAAACCGAACCAGACCTAAGGAGAAGGGCTTGGTTCCTCCACTAGGCCTTCCTTCAAGGCCTAGTCCCAGGCCCGAGCCCAAATCCTTTTGGTTTATTTTTTTAGCCTCTTGGACAATTATTAAAACCCCCTATAAATTTTGAAATAAACAGAAATTATAGGGTTTAAAAATTTTTTTACAAAATTTAAGAAAAAAAATATTCATTTAATAACCGTTGGCTGGAAACCAACTGTCATTGGGGGGGTTTGTTCCACACCACTCAATCTCTCAATCTCTTTACTCTCTACTCCAAATCTCCAAT